GGGGTGGTCGGCTCCTGGGCCCCCCAGGGGAAGAGGCTGGCCCAGTGGGTATCTCTACCTGAAGGGTTCACGAGTATCCAGCAGTCAATTAGTTATGTTCCTGGAGCAGACACTACATAGGAGATGGAAAGGCAGCTGAGACCTTCTCAAGGATATATGCACTCATGGATTGATGGGGAGATTGAAGTCACCTCCACGTATCAGCTGTCCCTCTTGAAAAGATTCTAGTTTGTGCAGTACCATAGCCAGGAAAGATTTCTAAATCCTGTTCTGGAAGTACAGATTAGCGAAAGCATCCATGTTTCATTAAAGGACCACTCTAGGCACCCAGACCACTTCAGCTTAATGAAGTGGTCTGGGGGCCAGGTCCTTCAAGGGGTAACCCATTTTTTTATAAACATAGCAGTTTCAGAGAAACTGCTATGTTTATGAATGGGTTAAGCCTTCCCCTATTTCCTCTAGTGGCTGTCTCATTGACAGCCACTAGAGGCGCTTGCGTGCTTCTCACTGTGATTTTCACAGTGAGAGCACGCAAGCGTCCATAGGAAAGCATTGTAAATGCGGTAAAAGACCGGCTGAATGCGCGCGCAGCTGTTGCCGCGCGTGCGCATTCAGCCCAGGAGGAGGAACGGAGGAGGAGAGAAGGAGGAGAGCTCCCCGCCTGGCGCTGGAAAAAGGTAAGTTTTTCCTGGCACTATAGTGGTCCTTTAAACTTGCCCTTTGCAAACAGGGAGTGGCCCTCTGGGTCAGTAAAAGAAAAAGAAAATCTCCAAAGTGTGAGGAAAGAAGGGCAGAAATGAGCAAGGAGAGGTAGAAGTAGAGTGAAAAAATTGTAAAGGAACCAACAAAAGAAGGTACAGGTTCAAAGCTCAAACAGGAATATAAACTATAACAAATATTATGTGGGTGTGGTATGAAACCCACCCACAAACAATACCGCAACTCGCAACAAAGTAAAGTGTCTTAAATGTCAGGTAAAATAATACTGAGATCAAGGCCTTGATAGGGTTAATTCCGGTGCTTGGTTATCCCACATATGCAGCAAGTAAAACAAAACAAAATGCAGTCCGCACTCAGGAGTAAACCCTTATGATCCACAGAACAATGCACAGAAATAATGAAAAAATGCACATTTATTGATATAAAAATTGAAGCGAGGTATGGCAGTAAATAGTTATGGCAGCACTCCAAAAAGCTGAATATAAGAGCAGGACTATTGAGTAATGCAAACAGCATATGATTATCACAAGATGAATATACAGATATCCAGGCAAGGACAACACACTTGCAAAAAACAGGAACAATTAAGGAACGAAATATTAAGAAGTTGTGGTACCTGCTGCTGCCAGACGTGAGGAAGACCACCTACACTGCCACCCACAAAAAGGTAATAGTGAGTACCCTGGACACGTTTCGCACCCCCCTGGTGCTTTATTAACCGGGAATATGCCCTCATATCCAGTAGAGAAGGGCACCACCAATATCCTTAAAGTCCTCAAGCTGGTTGTTTGACAATCAACCCAGTGGGGTGGTAGAAGATTATTTACCAGTATAAAAATTTACACCATTACCGCCCACACTCTACACCAAATTAGATTAGGGTCAGTACATGGGACAGTCAAACTTGTTCAACAAAAGTGCTTATGAAAGGACCCTTGAGTGGAATTCATCACTAATTCGTAGGTACTAATTCGTACTTTCATTCTTAGCATAATATTTTGCAAACAGGTATCCGTAAAATGTTTGTGTATCGGGGGCGTGACCTGACACTGCATGGATGCAGTAGCATAACCTGAGAGCTCCGCCATTCTGTGGACTAAAACAGCGAGTATTTCGGCTAAACACACTCTGCAACTCTCCCACAAGCTACCGAGGACACAGGGGAAGATATGTCCCACAAATCAGCTAAAAAACTAAAACAGAAAACATTACATTCCCACCTAACAATGGGGAAAAGCGGAAACCAAGATGGCGCCGACGGGTCGAGCTACATAGCTTCAGATCGGGAAGATGGCGAGAGCCAAGATCTACCTGACACCCCTAACACCCAACCGGCCACTGATGCATCTGTGAGCAACATGCTGCAGTCTCTACAAACAAACCTCAGGTCAGATTTTTCCAAAATGGCGGCGGACATAATGGCAGATATCCAGGCCCTCGGGGACAGGACGGCACACTTAGAAGAGGCAACAGAGGGGCTGAGAGAGGCCCACTATGAGCTTGCTGAGGCACACACAGCACTACAACAAAAAGTGCACTTCCTTGAAGGAAAAATTG